CCTCTCGTCTTCATCCGGAGTAGGCGCGATCAAGAAATCTTCAAAAATCCAAGGAAAATCCACTCGACTGCAGCTGCCCGTAGTCGTAACAGGAGTCTTTCAGACGACAAGATCCGGGAATTTCTAAAACGTAAGAGAGAGCGTGAGGAACTCAACGCCGACTCTTCACTTCCATCTCCAACGACCCTGGTCACTTCCTTAAGAACTCTCCATTCTTGTCAATAGTTCCCACTGCTCCCGAAATATCGCCGATCCCAAACTCCTCTGTCCCAGAATACCTGGTTCTGACGAATCAGCTCAAACAGATGCGATCGCAGATGAATCGCGCATCAATGCTCCTTGGGGCAGAAACTGACTAGCGCCCAGGATACAAATAAGGCTCAATTCCACAAGTTACGCCTCGATATTCAGAGGGGATTCTGGAAGATAGCCACTTAGTTAAAGTCGCTTAAAAAAAGAGGTAAACCAAAAAATAGATCTAGCGAAACAAGTGGAGCTCAAAATTACTATCGGTTCAATGGAGATTGAATGGAGATTGGAGCAGCAGGAGCGCTCACTCAGGAAATGCAACATTGCCATCAAAGGTTTTTCCAGCCAACCCTTGCTGAAGTTCAGGACGTTCTGAAAACCCATTTCGATGTCGACATTTGTATTGTCGGAGTTAAAGAGCTGGGTAAAGGACCCTCCGAGCTACTCGCAGTTGCCTTAAGTAACCTATTTTACAAGCAAGACATTCTCAACTTCAAAAATAAACTCAAAGGTATCAAAATTTTTATCGAACTCGATCTGACAAGACAGAAGCAGGAAATATCCACTACGATAAAAGCAATTGCCAGGGAAAAGAAAGATCAGAGTCACTTGGATAAGATTCGGTACAGTAAGTTACGACTCGATGAGAAATGGTATCATTGGAACTCAGCCAAAACTCCCTCGAAGAAAAAACTCGTGTGCCTTCTCATGCTGTGGCAGCTTTATCGGTACCCACATCCTCACTTGGTATTTCAAAAAACTATTTTCATGCAGCGTCGTTTTCTGGAACTTTGAAGGTATTAAAAATATATCCACCAGCTGTCAGAAAGTCATTGCACTGCAAACCTTCTCTTCTGCTTCCTAGTCTTCTCAGTATTCAACAAAATTTCTGCTGCCCGGCCTTAGAAGTGCACTCAAGAGACAGAGAGAGATAGCGCTGGTCACCTCAACTCAGTCTCCAGAAAATTTAAAACCGAGTTAGTTCACTCTACCAGATGGTGATCAATTTCCCGTATTTACTTCACAGATGGGAATGCTATAATAGGGAGGAAACTTTTCTGAAATTTATGAATAAAAATGGATTAGTTCTCATTAACGGTCGCTCACCCAGCGACTACCCAGGGAATTGCACCGATATCAGCCGTGGAAGATGAACAACGACCGACTTCTCGTGCAGAAATTTTCGAGCCTGCAGACTTGGCTAATGTATTGGCCAACATCTGTTTACCGATACTCGGTTTTCGGATGCTTGGCCAGCATCGTTCGCCGATATTCGGTTGTTCGATATTCCACCAATATGTTCGGCCACATCGATTTAACGAGGTTCTGTTGAGCGATGTTAGTCCAACGATAAAGTCCCAATCTGTTGAATCAATATCTATTGGTCGATCATTAGCCATTCATAGCCCTTACGTAGCTTCCCCAATATCCGTCACTTAAAATAATCATTGAGTATAATTACATTACAATTAACTTCAAACAATGAAATCCATTGAAATTTCATCGGAATCATCATTCATTGAGGCCAGATAAATAAGAATTGAAAAATTCGGAAAAGGATGCTTGATCAGCATCGTTCGCCGATACTCGGTTGTTCGATATTCCGCCAATATGTTGGCCCACATCGATTTAACGAGGTTCTGGTGAGCGATGTTGGTCCAACGATAAAGTCCCAATCTGTTGAATCAATATCTATTGGTCGATCATTAGCCATTCATAGGCCTTACGTAGCTTCCCCAATATCCGTCACTTAAAATAATCATTGAGTATAATTACATTATGTTATAGACCCGAGCGGTTGGGTTCGATGATAGAGATAGATCACTTGTGGATAATTAGAAATGAATATCTCTCAGGGAGATTCAACTTTTTAACGATTAAACGATTTATTCAATAAATATAGTCTTTGATTAATGCCGTAAATATCAGGCAATATGAATTACTAAATCTATGAAGTCGTTTTTATGCTCGTATTACAAGACTTAGGTATTAAGTTAGTGTTTAGGGCGTGGACTAGTGTGCGAGAGATTGTAGGTTCAAGTCTCGTCAGGTATACAATTTGAGTCCGTCTATTAGGTTTCTCTAGGGTTGCAGTACGAGCGTAAAGAGGACAATACTGGGGGGCCTCACAATTACCGCAGTGGGGAGCGTCCCATGAAGCGTCTGTTAAATAGGGAAATGAGAAAAATACCCGTCACGATTAATGAACAATCAATTAACAACGCAAACTTGATGACGAATTGTTCTCATTGGAATTTCACGATGACATTGTTCTCATTGGAATTTCACGATGACATTGTTCTCATTGGAATTTCACAAAATTCTGCTAGTTTTCTTTCTGCATCGACTGTTTTCTGAAGGGTGCTCTACACCCATATATAACCAAAATTTACGTTTTTTTAATTTTTTCGGAGGACTTACTATCGAGTTGAGGTACGAAAATATAACATTTTCGCGTTCTGTCATTATTTAATGACTCACGGAGTTTTCTGGTGGTGCAAATATTATGCTGCGTCTTTTCTCCGAAAAAGAAAAAAAATGATCGAACCACTACAAAACTTTGTGAGCCATTACATAATGACAAAACACAAAAACGTTATACCGACAATTTGCTAAAAAAAATCAAAAACGTGAATTTTGGCTATATATCGGTGTGAAACGTCCTTAAATAAGCACAACAGAGGTTAACTTAGAATTATTTTTCGATGTATTTCCCTCCTTGTTGTTTCTAACTCTCTTATTGTCTCTTGTTCATGGGAACTGAGAGAATAAGAATGGATTTTTCGTCAGAGAAATTAATATATCAATGAATTTTTTTTCGGTGAACCTAAACCATACATTTACCAATTTTTGTTATGTCCCAGATTTTCATCACTTGCGTTATTGTTCAATATTTGAACATACATCATTGTCAATGTGACACTTGCCTGCGTAATTGGATTATGCTGACCAAGTAATGACCCATAAAAAATTATATATTTAAGAGGCCGTTTAGGTATGTAGAGGGCAGATGCAAATCGGGCTCCGATATCTGTTAGTCGTAATCCTTGTCATCAGTCAGATGACTCAATTAAAGTAATAAACTCTCATATTTGAAATTCAGCGCCGGAGTATAACTATTGTTAGTTGAATGATTTATGGAAAACAGGAACACGAATTTTTGACATGAAAATATGGAAAAGCTAAATCAGAAATGGTGAATGTAATTGAATATTTTTATATTTTTCATGTTTAATTTGGACGACATTAGGTTTGATTTTTCATTCTTATCTTGATTATGTTATTAATTTATAATATTGAAATAGGAATAGAAATTCATGGTGTAGATCTTTCGGCGACACAATGGTTTTTCTTCACTAGAATAACCGGCTCTGATCCTATTACGGATACCTCTTATTCCGCCACGTTCACCTACTCGTTTATAACCATAAACAAAGTTGGAACAGTCTTGAGAATGGCCACAACGATAGGAACTGATTCATTAGTTCTCTTAAAATGCAAGAAACACTCCTACTCTCGATTCAAGGATGCAGTATCCCTACACGTCTGTCCGTTCAGCTATTTATTACTATTCAATAGATTACCGCACACTATATCGACTCTGTTGCGAATTATAGCATGGGAGGACCGAAAGAGGCAGATCGATCCCAGAAAGTAACCTCCACCAAGTCAAATTATCGCTCCGACGGTTGCTTCTAGACTGGTTTGTCATTTCAACTTTTGGAAGCGCATCGGTTTCTGGTGGTTACACGAATCCATTTTCAATTAATGGGGATTATGACATGATTTTCCGACTCCTTATTCTTATAGGAAATTGTCCTGCCAATTCAGCAAATTTGGCAGCACGTGACTTGGCAGGTGAGGTTCATTGCCCTGATATGTATCACTCTGGCACAAACGCGAGTGTACTGAGCTGTATGATGAGAAATTGAATTGATTAATGAAAAGTTAGAATTTAAGAATATTTATTGAGAGCATTTGCAATTATGGATATCTCTGGAAAATGTAGGAAAAATTATATACATATGTTTCCGGACGTCACAGCCAAATTACTATTGAAGATTCAAAAATACTTTGACGATTAAGGGGGCCGGGGGGGGGGGGGGGGGGGGTTGGTTCATGACTGAACATCAGTTAATGGGATTGTAGTAATGGACTATGCACAATGCGATTGAATTTTATGTCAGATACTGCGTATCAGCTTCTGAATATTGTAGCTCTGTTGATTTCTCCATTGTAGCCTTCGCTACATTACCTACCCGCGGTACTGTTTCTATATTACCTGCGGGGCCTAGGTCGTACTCCCGTACGGTGGCACTGCGAATACCAGAGTGGGGAGCACTTGGGACTACGTCACACGACGCTTCTCCCACTCAGCACTGCCAGCTATATAAACGCCTACGCGAGTTCTCTCGACCAGTTCGTGCTCGGTCTTGCCTTGAGCGCAGAACTACCTGGCTAGCTATCTAGTTCCTGTAGCCTTACCTTCTAGCAATCCTACGCACTCTGTACTACCTGGACTTTCTCTCCTTTCTCAGAATTGAGAAGTGGCCATCTCACGGTACAAGACCGTGCACTCACCGCTATCGGTCCCCTTCCTCCTATTCCCGGACGAAGGGACGGTTGCTCTCTGTTTGTTTCTCCCCTTTATAGGGTTGAAACGTGATTTCTTTTACGTCCACCAGTGCAGTTTGGTCTGTTCTCTGTTGAGTTCTCTCATCATCATGCCTATCACTGATGATACGGGGATAATGGCAGAAGGCCCAGCCACCTCTGCTATTACCATCCATGCCCCTCGGTTTGCCATGGATAAGCCAGCTCTCTGGTTCGCTCAGGTAGAAGCGCAATTCCGTATCAAAGGAATTGTCACTGAGCTGGACAAATTCAGCTATACGGTGTCCCTGATCGACACACGTATAGCTGCCGAGGTCGAGGACGTCATAAATTCTCCTCCTGCTACCACGCCTTTCCAAGCGCTAAAGAAAGGTCTGGTTGAGCGATTCACTAAATCGCGACAGGCCAATCTTCTCCAGCGGCTGGACCGCGAGAAGCAAGGTGATCGTTCTCCTTCCCAGCACCTTAGATACCTGAAAAGCCTGGTCCCAGACATCGATGAGGAGGTATTGAAGGTCATGTGGCTCTCTCAGCTACCTAAAGCAATCCAGATGGGTGTCGCCATACAAGCGTCCGATGTGACAGCCGAGAAACTTGGCGAAGCAGCGGACAGCTTGCACGAGATCCTCCAACCCTCCAACGTTGCTCCGGTCTCCAACGTAGAGCAACAGATCGCTGCGTTGACGCGCCAAGTCGCCACGCTCACGGCACGACTTTCACGTGACAGGGAGAAGCCCTCTCACTCACGCAGTCGAAGCCGTAGTCGATCTCGCACTAGGAAAGTGGTTAAGGATCTCTGCTGGTACCATAAAAAGTTCGGCAAAAATGCTAAAAACTGCAGCCCTGGATGCACCTTTTCGGGAAACTCGAACTAGAGTCGTTGGTGGCGACAACTGACTCTCTCCCATTTTCTTGCCGCCTGTTCCTCGCGGACAAAACCACGCAAGAACGCTACCTGATTGATGGAGGATCCGATCTGACTTTGTTCCCTGCACGCGGTAAAGTGAAGCCGACTGGTTATCAGCTTTACGCAGCAAATGGAACGACCATTGACACCTACGGTCATGTTCTGATCAATCCTAACCTGGGATTACGTCGAGACATGGCCTGGCAGTTCGTCTTGGCAGATGTCTCTCATCCTATCATCGGAGCCGATTTCCTGTACCACTTCAATCTGTTGACGGACCAACGAAACGGTCGTCTAATAGATGGTACTCCCGGACTCTCGTCAAAGGGTGAGCTTGTCAAGTTACCGCCTCCCATGGTGAAGACGGTCGATTCGCTCTCTAATTCCAACTGGCATTCTCTGCTGGGGGAATTCCCGGACATCACGAAGCCAGATGGCCAGCTCAAGGTGTCTGCGCATACCACGCAACACCACATCTGAACAACTGCTGGGCCTCCCATTTCGTGCCGCACACACCGTCTGGCCCCTGAAAAACTCGCCATTGCTCAGGCTGAGTTCTCAAAAATGGTCAAACTCGGTGTTGCGCGACGTTCGTGTAGTCCATGGGCCTCTCCTCTTCATCTTGCTACCAAGAAGAACGGTGAATGGCGACCATGTGGGGACTACCGCTCTCTCAATGCAAGGACGATCCCTGACAAATATCCTGTTCGCTATCTGGAGGATTTCACGGCAAATCTATATGGCAAGTCAGTTTTCTCGACAATCGATCTCGTCAAGGCGTTTAACCAGATCCCTGTCGCCCCTGATGACATCCAGAAAACTGCCATCATCACGCCATTTGGTTTGTTTGAATTCCCGTTCATGACCTTCGGTCTTCGGAACGCAGCACAAACGCTCCAAAGATTAATCGATGAAGTTACACGGGACCTCCCATTTGCGTTCGCTTATATCGATGACATCCTCATTGCATCGGACAATGAGGAGCAGCATCGTGAACATCTCCGAACACTTTTCCAGCGACTCCGGGAGTTCGGCCTGGTCGTCAACGTGGCGAAATCAGTCCTGGGGAAGTCGGAAGTTGTTTTCCTCGATCACGTGGTAAACACGCACGGAATCATGCCTCCGCCAGACCGAGTTGAAGCTATCGTCTCTTTCCCTAAGCCAGCAACTATTAAACAGTTGCGCGGTTTCATCGGGACAATCAACTTCTACCGGAAGTTCATGAAACACGCTGCAGTTTTGTTAGCTCCCTTGAACGTTCTCTTACAGAACCCTAACCTCAAGGGTAGTCATCCAGTCGCTTGGACTCCGGAATTGGAGCTCGCCTTTGACGACTGTAAGAAAGCTCTCGCTGAAGTCACCCTGCTGGCACATCCAAACAGTGAGGCAGAGTGGGCGATCTTCACTGACGCCTCCGATCGCGCAGTCGGTGCAGTGTTACAGCAGCGCGCTGGCAAAAGCTGGCAACCGCTTGCTTTCTTCAGTCGTAAACTTACGCTGGACAACACTAAATATTCGGCTTACGATCGTGAACTTCAGGCTATCTTTTTGGGCGTTAAGCACTTCAGGCATATCTTTGAGGGACGTCACGTGACAATCTACACTGATCACAAGCCCTTGGTCCATGCTTTGCAGCAGAGTCCAGAGCGTGCTTCTCCGTGGCAGTTCCGTCGCCTAGATTTTATCGCTCAATTCACTTCAGACATTCGACATGTCGAAGGTGACCACAACATCGTGGCAGACACGCTCTCTAGGATTGAAGCTCTCTCAACCGCGGTGTCACCAGTGGAAATACAACGCGCGCAGATTGATGATGCTGAACTTCAGCAACTTCTCCGTCGAGAAGACATCTCAATCCAACTGCGCCGGTTACAGTTCCCTGAGCACAATGTTTTCTTGTACTGTGACATATCAACAGGTACGATCCGACCCTACGTCCCAGCCTCCTTGAGGAAGCAGGTTTTTGACTCTCTTCACTCATTGGCCCATCCCGGACAAAAGGGGTCACGAAAACTTGTTGCTCAACGCTACGTCTGGCCGACAATGAACAAGGATTGTTCGTCCTGGAGCAAGCATTGCCTTCAATGCCAACGTAGCAAAGTCCACCGGCATACCTCGTCACCAGTCGCTGAATTTCGGGCTCCTTCACAGAGGTTCGAACACATTCATATCGACTTGGTCATCCTTCCCGTTTCGAAGGAACACAGGTATTGCCTTACGATCGTGGACCGTTACACACGTTTTCCGGAAGCGATTCCGCTGAAGGAAACGTCCACAGACACCGTCGCGCATGCTCTCTTATACCACAGGATCGCAAGGTTTGGAGTCCCTCTGAGGATCACAACGGATCGAGGACCGCAATTCCATTCGGACGTTTTCCAGCGTCTCACGGAACTCCTCGGCTCCAAACGCTTGTTGACCACACCGTACCACCCAGCGGCAAATGGTTTGGTCGAGCGGTTGCACAGGCAACTCAAAGCCGCCTTACTCTGCCATGGTGATTCCTGGTACGATGCATTACCTCTCGTACTCCTTGGTT